TTTGTGTACGCAAGGCCATGAAGGCCAACGCAAAGCCCAAGAAAGGGAAGAAAGGAAAGGGGAAAAAAGGGAAATGAAAGAAAGCATGAAAGCATGGTGCAAGATTATCAACAATATTATTTATGTTATTAGATAAATAAAATGGGGAAAAACCACTGTGACTGTGAGACTCATGAAGCATTCAAGTGTTGTTGTACAGTTGTTAACCAGATATTTACCCTGATTTCTTTCAAATCTGTTTTTATTTTTAATTCTGAAAGTTGTGTAGTGTATTCCAGTTTATAGAAACAATGGCTGCATCTGAAACCTGAAAACGGCTGCCTACACAGTATATGGAGGAAGAAATGAAGACATGTCCGAATCCAATAATAATATTTCATTGATTATTAAAGAGGAAACCCTTTTAATTAAACATACCTTTAATCTCCATGTCCCTGTACAATATTCCTGGTGTCCCTCCCACCGCAGTGCACAACAATCCTGTACAATCCTCAAGGGTGGCCAGATGATGATTTTTTTATAGTTTAGGCACATCTGTCCATTTTCAGTGGATATAAATCTTCAGAGATTGGGTGTACATAATGTTGAACTTCAGTTCATTATCTATAGCTCTCATGAGCTGAAAATATTTCTGAATCTGGAGGGAAAATTACAAAAACATGAGTTTTTCACCAAAGCAGTTTTGAAAAAAACGTAGCTTGCCTGTTACGTCTTACCACACATTGCTGTGTGATGACTTTTTAGAACATTACTGTAGCTCATTTTAGTTTTAAAAATCATATCAACAATAAATAATAATTCATTCAAGGTTGACAGAAGTATTTTTGCATTATTCACCATTTCCAACTGCTTGAAGATGTCCTCAGTGTCCAGAGAGACTTTCCTGTAAAGTGTGATCATCTGATAAATGTTACGGCTTGTGACCTTTAGCTGAGCAAATCGGAGTGTCTCTTTTGCTGCAGTGGAATGGAAATGCTTCAATTTTAATTCCTGTAGAACACATGAATAGTCTGTAATCTTGGGAGACAGAACTGTACAGAAGACATAGGCCTGTAAATTGTGTGCGTGTGTGTGTTTACCTATTTGTATGCTTCTAAGCGTATGCTGTCTAGCTGGGTCTGTTGCTGGTGCAGTTGGTTGTTACAGTGCAGGAGAACAGTTCGCTGTTTATTTAGGTACTGTATCAGTTCCAGCTTTGTGCTCTCTCTCTCTCTTTGTCTAACCTAGTTTGGTTTTCTAGAAGTTCTTTGTGGATAGACCGGAGTTCATGAAGACGGTCAATGACTTGACCAATGTTCTCAAACTCAAATGTCTTTAAAAAGGGGGAAGAGAGAGAAGAAAAATGTAATATTACTATACAAAATTTTAGATGCAGAAACAGGTAGAACCTGTATAATGTACACTTTTGAGAAGTTCGTCCATTATGTTACCCCATTTGCCTCATCATTCAGAAAACAGAAAATAAAACCACACAGAATAAGACTGATCCAAAATGCTCATTGGCAGTTACACTTGATGAAGAATAGGAAATCAGGTCCTTTAAAGGGATAGTTCACCCAAAAATGAAACTTCTGTCATTAATTACTCATCCTCGGAACAAAAGTTAAGATATTTTTTATGAAATCCGAGAGCTTTCTGACCCTCCATAGACAGCAAGGGTCCTACCACGATCAAGGCACAGAAACGTAGTAAGGACTAAATGTGACATCAGTGGTTCAACCGTATTTTTATGAAGCTACGAGAACACCTTTTGTGTGCAAAGAAAACAAAAATAACGACTTTATTCAACAATTCTTCTCCGCATTACCCTGGCGCAATTTTGGGGAGTATCACGACGCATGCCTGTGCTTTTCTTCTGAACGTTAACAAGGTTTAGGTTAGTCGACATCAGCAGCACCACGCACCATGCGTCGTGATGCTCCCCAAAATTGCGCCAGGGTAATGCGGAGAAGAATTGTTGGATAAAGTCGTTATTTTTGTTTTCTTTTTGCACAAAAAGTTTTCTCGTAGCTTCATAAAATTACGGTTGAACCACTGATGTCACATGGACAGTTTTAATGATGTCCTTACTATGCTTCTGTGCCTTGATCATGGTAGGACCCTTGCTGTCTATGGAGGGTCAGAGAGCTCTCGGATTTCATCAAAAATATCTTAATTTGTGTTCCGAAGATAAACGAAGGTCTTACGGGTTTGGAACGAAATTAGGGTGAGTAATTAATGACAGAATTTTCATTTTTGGGTGAACTAACCCTTTAAGGTAAGTAAGTCAGTTCATTTGGCACCCATATATTTAATACTACTTCAAGTCATGCCAGTACAGCATGAATGTAGAAAGACTGTAATCTACATAATTGTTTTTGACCAATTTGACCATAATGTTATCAAAAATTGTGCTACTTCAGCTCAAATCATGGACAAAAACCTAGCGTAAACTGTAAGCTGGCACTTCCATTCCCATAGCCGATGTGTTGAGCGTTGCAATGTCTCTATCAACGAGGCACTTGGTTATTTCTGTGTACAGCTTTCCAGATCCTCCCATTCATATCTGTATGAAAAGATCATCTCTGCCCTTTCCAGTCTCTAGCTCAGGGCTGTCCAAACTCGGTCCTGGAGGGCCGATGTCCTGCAGAGTTTAGCTCCAACCCTAATTAAACACACCTGAACAAGCTAATCAAGCTCTTACTAGGTATAGAAACTTCCAGTCAGGTGTGTTGAGGCAAGTTGGAGCTGAACTCTGCAGGACACCGGCCCTCCAGGACCGAGTTTGGACAGCCCTGCTCTAGCTCAAATAACTCTGCAAACTCTCAAAGTATAAAAAGTCTCACTCTTCAGCCAAATGAGGTATGTGAGTCCATGAAAAAAGCTTGACAGTTTCTCTGAGCTGTTTCAGTAGCTGTACCCTTTCCAGACACAACAGCAGTAGACTACCAACTAATAGTGCAACTACCTTTCCAGACATTTTTGCGGCTCTCTCCAGGAACTCTTGGTAGCATATGGCTTTTCTGACACAATCCTCCAGTAACTCTTTTCGTGCCAGCAGGGTGTCAATCTCTGCTTCTGAATCTCCAGTTCTTTCAGTCTGATTTGAGATCTCTCTGCTTCCGCTTTCTTTATGGCACGCAAACGTCTGGCATCATTTTCCTTTAGGTAAAGAAAGAAATCAGTTTACACATCATCCGTTCATATCCATGTAATTGTTTCGGAATGCTGCATTACTTGCAAAAACATTATATTTCAGTATGAATTTTTTCAGTTTCTCTTCTTTCTAAATGTTTTCGTCTCTCTCTCTTAAATTCTCTCGCTCCATCTGCATCTCCTGTCAACAGCATACACAAAGCAAGAAAAACTAACTGGAACAGCTAAAAAAGTAAAAATGTAAATAGCTGAAACGTATTTTTCACCACCTCTTTTTGAGCTTCCAGTGCCCTCATTTGCACTTACACTCAAATCCGTCAAATCCTTCTGCGCGGCCTTATTTCTGAAATTTTCAACAATCTCTGAATATATGCAATATAATCTCTGTGCGCCCAAACAATGCTTATACAACAGTTTTTTGCACTTCAGCGACTTCTCTGAATCTCTGAAACCAAATCTCAATGGCCATTACGACGGCACGTTAATGGTTCTAGAAAAAACACTGGTCGAACTGAAGTGTAATAAATGATACAGCCTATTCTTACAATTTGAGTCGTTCTTCGAAAATCGACTGAAAGTAAGCTTTCAAATTTAAATTCATAATTGAAATAGCCAAAAATTACCTTTCAGTTTATTGTGGTACTGATGAATAATGTTGCTGACTGATTATTATTATTATTATTATTATAACATTGTTATAACATTATTAATACCAGAAACAAGTGTAACACTAATAACTATGCTAACTTTATTATTATTATTATCGGTGTTGGGAAAGTTACTTTTAAAATTAATGCATTAGAATATTGCGTTACTCCATTAAAAAAGTAACTAATTACGTTACTTAGTTACTTTTTATGGAAAGTAATGCATTACTTTTGCGTTACTTTTTAAACATGGACAGGGCTTGCTTGTTTGTTTAAAAAAAGTTATATTTTTGGCAAATATAAAAGCCTTTTCACACCAAAAGTGAAATGCAGAGAGAGAAAGAGAGGGAGAGGGATGAGAGAAAGGGGGAGACTAATGGTAAAACAGTTACTGGTGATGCAGGGCTTGAATAAAAGCGATTGTTCAGCCAAAAATGTCAATTCTGTCAGAATTTTCTCACCTTCAGGTCGGTCCAAACTTGGATGACTTTATTTCTTTAGCAGAACACAGAAGTCATACAAGTTTAAAACAAAAATGTAACGCTACAAGTCAAAATGTTTGTAGTAAGATTTTTTGTTTATGTTTTTGAAACAATTTACAAGTACATTAACTTATGCTCACCAATAGCATTTATTTGATAGAAAATACAGTAAAAACACTAATATTGTGAAATATCATTAGACATTTATGTACATCTATAATTAAAATTTGGGGTAAAATGTCTAATTTATTGTACAAATCTGAAGATTAAAAAAAACTTGTTTTCAGTTCAATTAAATTACAGTGCCTGCTTAACTTCTGCTATCTACTTAACTCCATTATGAGTCTATACTACCATTTAAAAGTTGGGTTGGTAAGATTTGTTCTCATATGCTCACTGCTGCATTTATGTGATCAAAATGACAATAAAACAATGTGAAATATTATTAGAGTTTAAAATAACTGTTTTAATGTATTTTAAAACATGATTTATTCTTGTGATGGCAAAGCTGAATTATCAGCAGCTATTACTGCAGTCTTCAGTGTCACATGATGATGATTAAAAAGTTTAGAAGAACAGCATTTGTTTGAATGAAAAAAATGAATGTCTTTACTGACACTTTTGATTAGTTTAATGCTCACTGAATAAAAGTATTCATTTCTTTAAAAATAAAAAATAAATAATCTTATAGAGTTCATTATAATACCCCTATATTTAAACATTTGTTTTCATGTTTTCAACCAGGTTTGGAACGCATTACCTCATGAAAAGCTGACACAAACACCACATTGAATTAAAAACAGATGAAATGAACTCCAGCCTGTGCTGAAATCAAAATACACACATAGCTGGGTATCAAAAAGCTGATAAAGTTTCTTCGGGTCAAAGCTTGAAATGAGGAACAAAGAGAAACAATTATGAATACATAGATTAGTTGTGAGCTGCACTCCTACTCTACATTAACATTAAGATTTTCGATCTCTTTCCACTGCGCAATAAATTCGCTTAAGTGGGTATCTTTCGCTTTCGCATTTTGCTTAAGTGGACATCTTAACGACGAACGGGTTAATAGCATTACGGGCTAATGTCAGGGAGGTAAAAGGGCCCTTACTGGACCGTGTGCGTGTACCAGAGTGTACTGGGGGCTGTGGCGTGTTTCCTGGAGGAGCTGGATGATGCCATTAGGTTTGAGAAAATGAGCTCAGATCACTTAATTAGCAGTAAATAAGTGCTTAGCTGGGCCGGGAAATCCAGTCAGGGTCAGAGGCTTTTCAAAGACTCGATTTGGGTTCAGATTTCCATCTGAAAGAGAACATCAATAGGAGCCACCCAAAACTGTTCCGCTGAGATGAGGCAGGGGAATTTATTGATAGTTGAGTAATAATTATAAATGTCATTTCAAAATGTCAATCATTTATGGAAATGATAGCATATAAACTGCTAAAAGGGACATAACAGAACTGCATTATTTTCCTCCAAGCAGCAAGCATTGTTAAAGTGCATAAAAATTTCCTGGCCTTTAGATGATAAACTGTTTTCCCCTAAAGAACTTTCCAGTCATCTCTCTGTTTCCCTGCAACAGCTCAAACTCTTACACAATGTGTGAAACTACAGCTCTAAGGCACACACACACACACACACACACACACACGTGTATGCATACACACATACACATAAACATACACATACACATACACATACACATACACTACATGACTTCCATACAAAATATCAAAATTTATGAATGAAGTACTACGTCATATCAACACAAAAGACATTGCTGTGGATGAACATTTTATTTCAGCTTCATAACAAGTTTCAGAAAACACGTTCACAAAACACAGAAACTTTACATTTGCCAGAGTAAAGCAAACTGCTCAATAAATTTAAAAACGCTTTACAAATAAATATCAGCAAACACAAATTGTGAACTCAAAATCAATAAATAGTTCATCATTATAAATAACCGAAACATGAATTTCACAACATTAAAAGTTTTCTTTAAAATGACCATGTTTCACTCATGAAATTCTTATTGCATGGTGTGTCTATAAATAAATGTCCAGCTGATGCCTCCCCTCCTCTCTGTCTGTCTCTCTCTCTCTCTGTATCTCTTGCCTTGGGCCATGACAGGATTGGTAACATCACTGCTCCCTTAACGGACTGTGACACGTGCAGTACCCAGCATTCCCTTTTCTCATCAGAATAGAGTACGAATAAACAAAATAAAGGACCCCCATCTGAAGCTAGACAATGTGTGATAGGAAGTTTAAGAGTTTTAAATCTGGCAGTTTCTTGTATTTGGGTTTGTTAGTGTTTGTAGGCTACATCAGCATTTCCTAAGTGAAATAGTAAAAAATAGGATTCTCCCTAAATGTTCACAGATACTGGCCACAATGAAGCAACCCACCTCCTTAACATTATTCCCCTTTTTTAAATTCCTGGTGTAGTTGTATCTTGATGAAAAAAGCTGCAGTAATGGTAACAGAGATTCACACATCTTTACCAGAAGATATTTGATACACATGTACACAAAATCTCACACACACATCACTGAAGACTAAAGGGACATGCAAACATTCATCACAGGGTTTAAGAGGAAATTTTGTCTATTTTAAAAGAAAATCTCAAATTTATATCCTGAAATCCCATTAGTTCCCACTTGCTCCACAGTGACAATATATATATATATATATATATATATATATATATTCTCTCTCTCTCTCTATATATATATAGATTTATTTATTGTATTATATTCTAATTATTTTTTTAAGTAGATAACAAAAAGCATGAGCAAATATAAAATGTTATTATAAAAAGTATATATAAAATTATGAAAATGTTAAGAAAATACATACAAATATTTTTATACCAATAGGTGAAATAAGAATTGCAGCTACTATATTGCAAATTATATTAATTTTGATGTTGAATTTTATTCTTATTTGTTATTTTGATGCTCTAGCAGAACTGAATTTTTTTTAATTTTTTTTTTAATAATTTTAATTTGCTAGACAACATAACAACAAGGTAGAAACTGTGAAGCAAAACAGATGCAAACTTGTGATCTCAGGATACAATTATGAGTATGTTACCACAATACACAGACTCTTTCGTTCTTTTCCTTCTCTCTCTCTCTCACACACACACACACACACACACACACATATATATATATATACATATATTCTCTCTCTCTCTCTATATATATATAGATTTATTTATTGTATTATATTCTAATTATTTTTTTAAGTAGATAACAAAAAGCATGAGCAAATATAAAATGTTATTATAAAAAGTATATATAAAATTATGAAAATGTTAAGAAAATACATACAAATATTTTTATACCAATAGGTGAAATAAGAATTGCAGCTACTATATTGCAAATTATATTAATTTTGATGTTGAATTTTATTCTTATTTGTTATTTTGATGCTCTAGCAGAACTGAAATTTTTTTTATTTTTTTTTTAATAATTTTAATTTGCTAGACAACATAACAACAAGGTAGAAACTGTGAAGCAAAACAGATGCAAACTTGTGATCTCAGGATACAATTATGAGTATGTTACCACAATACACAGACTCTTTCGTTCTTTTCCTCCTCTCTCTCACACACACACACACACACACACACACACAGTCCAGTGAGGGAGTCAGTTGTGTAGCCAGTTAACGGCTTTAAACAATTCAATAACTAAGTAAGTCTGTATGAGTTTGAGGCTGATTCGTGATTATTTTTGATTGAATGAAAAAGTGTTCATAAGAGTCATTTGTTCATGAATCTAACATCTCAACACGGTCTGGGTTAGTTGTTGCGTGCAGGAAAGAAAGAAATACATAATGTGCTAAGATATCTGACGAAATGCACACAAAGTTTTCTTGAGTGCTGCTAATGGCAAATAGATTTTAAATTATTGTTGCATTTTAGAAGTGAGAGATGCAGCTGTCAATTATAAACCTTAGTACTATGTACCTAATACGTACCTAATTGTTTTGTTTTTAACTTTATTAAATCTCTTCAAAGAACATTTTTTTAAAAAGCCCACAATAATTCCAAGTAACATACAAGAAAGGAAAAAATACAAATAAGAAATACTATGGATTTTTGAAAATTACCTTTCCTGCAGTGTGTAACACAGCTCTAAGTGAATGAAAACATCCTGCCAAGTTTTAAATCTGAAAGTGCACCGCGTATAAAGTTATTGTCTCTCAAAAGAAAGAGCTGATTCTGAATAATTGAAACGAGTCGTTTTTAAAAACGAATCCCAAGCCGTTTCATGTTGACTTCAAAATGAAACATTAGCATATTGCCCGCCCACTTGTTGATCTTTTCCGGTTGGTCTGAATGAAAATGCAAATTCATTCTTTGCCACTAGGTGTGGTAAAATAGCTGTTTCCCCGGTAACGGCTGTAAACAAAGCAGCACTGCGCTCACAAACGCTGCTTTATCAGGCATCACAGGCAAGATGAAATGAAAATTAGACCAATCGGACCAATCACCGCTGATTAGCCTCACGCAAAGGAGGGGTTTGGAAAAATGAATCGTTAAACGAATCGTTTGGGAGTCGTTGAGCAAGTAAGGTAAAAATAAATGCATATTATAAGACAATGAAAGTGTTTTTTGACCTTGCATGCATGTCAACCTGTTGTTGGGGACTCCCAAAACCAAAATATGAACCTTTCATAACCCATAATAGGGGCACTTTAAATTCCACAAAAATGTAACAAATTTACATTTGTGTAAATAAAACTTGCATATAATCCAAATATTATAACACAGAAATTCAACCTCTTTGTTTTGCACCATGTACCTGAAATGTCGGAGCAGGTGTAGCCAGGACTGGGCTTTTGTGTCACAGTGTATTCTGACCGAGAGAGACAGGAGTCAGGCGAGGGTGGAGCTGCACGCTGCCTTGCAGTACTACGTGGTACAAGTGGATACTCCTTACTGTGAATAAAGTGTAAAACATGCACCAGACGCATTGATTCCTACAGCATGACCCAGACAATATTTGAGAAATTGGGAAAATTACATTTAAAGAAAGGACGCAAAAGATATACTGAGAATATTTCAGAAGCCCATGCATCAGGGAACTTTTAGAGGAAGAGTCACAACACACTTTGGCACAAGAGTTGATATATCAGGGTGTTAAAAGAGAGAGAGAGCAGGCTCATGATTTGCATTGGCACGGTGGCACGGCAAAGGGTAACGGATATCATTTGCACAGTACTGATCGTTTCTAATGAAATTTCTAAGTTAAGAGACAATTACAGTAGCTAAAAATCTGACTCATTCCTCTTTCTCTCTGTTTTTTCACTCTCTCTCTCAAAAACGCATTTACTTAGACACACACACATTAGCCCCCCAGTGACCTCTCTGTGTGACAGTGTGTTGTGCCGCTCTGCTCTTAATATTGTTACACTATAAATATCCCTCTCTTGTGTGTCACATTCAATAATGTCAACATGCAACACAAAGCTTTGACTTTTGTTCCTAAACCCTGCTAGTTAAAAGGACAACATATTCTCCATGTAGCTGAAACAACATCAGTGGCTACGAGATGCAACACATAATGACATGCAGGCACATAGGACATATATAAATGAAGACTTAAAAAAATAAAATACATTAGTGATTCATCATTACTCACATACAAACTCATGGTGCTGTTATGATCCACTAAAGTAAAATGTTTGCATGCGTATTAATATGTTCAAAATATGTGTGTTCCACCTTGGTGTACGGGACATGCGATGCAATTCGATATCGTCGTTTCCACGGAAACCTTTAGCAAATGGATTATTCTCAATTTTCAGCTGAGTGATCTAAAAGAAACGGAGGATTTAAGATGAACACTCTGCTGCTTTCTGCAAATGTATGCATTTTTTCTACGATCATAGGGGTCTTGCTGCTTACTGTGTGGTTCTGGTAGGATGTTACAGCGATGAAGGTCGTCTCAGGAAATGAGTGTGTGCAGAAACTTGTGTTGCTGGAGCCAAAGCTGTTCCTCTCGTCTGCCTTCACAATGTGCAGGCGAGGCTGGTATTTATGCATGGAATTTAAAATGATCTGCAGCAAATAACAGAAGAGATCTCCTGATCAACACATTGGTTACATAGGGGTTTCTGCAGGTTTTATTAGGGTGAATTTAAAATGTTTTAGGACCTTTTTAAGAGAATTTAAAAAAACTAAATGTATTATATTAGCAACACTTCAAAATTTTGTTTGATTTACAAAAATAAATATCCATATCCAATCTGCTCCAATCCATATTATACCTTCAGATCACATTGCAAAGAAACTGATGTTATTCCTCAGTATTTCTGTCTTGCTTTTCAGTGCAAATGTCTAAAGATTTTTAAATCAAGATACATTTACTTGAGAAGCAAAATGACAGGCGATAAGAAGTCTTCTTTCTGTGAAATTTATCAAAATGATGCAAATTTGTGATGAAAAAAAATCTGCCAATAATAAAAAAACAAAACAAGTTGTCATGCCTCATTGACAGATATTTGTTCTTGTTTTAAACATAAACTCATTTAATTTTGTTCAGCGTCATATCTTCATTTTGCAACTCAAGTAAATGTATCTTGATTTAAAGATGTTTAGAAATTTGTTTTGGAAAAGAAGACGAAAATACTGAGGAAGATATTCATTTAGCATTGCATGCAACATTGACTTTATGAATGTAAGACTTTCTGCTCTGATTTAAGACATTTTAGGGCCTTATTTTATGGAAGGGTGAATTAAGACCCTTTAAAGACCCACAGAAACCCTGTTCCATGTCCAGTTCAATCCAACTAAGCTGTAAACCAGTGGAGAGTTTAATTATGTTCATCAGTAAATAACCAATCAGATTTGACTGGCATCATCACTGACATGTCCGAAAGGATCCAGGTGGTTGTTGGTGAGTTTGAGCTTCTGGAAAGAGACGAGCTGTCTCATCCAGTGAGCTCCTGAAGCCGGTGAGTCTGGGTGCACATACAGTCGGCCTGGAATCGCCGGCTCAGCTTTACCACTGATGGACCTACAGAGCAGATAGGACACAAAACGAGTTGATAAGGACTTTCTGTCTGCTCCACAATTCTGAGATAAAAGTTCAGGTTACAAAATAAACTTCTATCTCAGGCACAGTTGAGCTCCTCTGCTCTGTGTGGATCCTCCACTCACTGAACAATATTCTCTAACCAAGGCTTATAATTGGCATTATTCTTGCATCATTTCACAACATCAACACACAACAGAGCTAATTTGTATTTATGCAATACATATCTTTCTCTTAGCATTCCTCCATGCAGTGATTTAGCTACACCTGTTTCTTTCAGTCGGTTACAATCAACAGCTCAACAACCTGTCATACAGTCATTCAATCACCATTCAAAATCTATTAAATAAAATGCCTAGTTAAGACTCATTGCTGAAAAAGAATCAAACATCTTTATAAATGTTTAACCTTTTATTACTTTATGTATTTTATTAGTAGTATTATAGTTTATATAAATTATAATTTAACACTTTCTTACCATTTGTTATCTGTAAACTTGTACCGATGCTCGTCAGCTGAAATAATGTCCATCAGTAAGATATATTTTGCTTTGGGGTTTAAGCCTGTTACCTTCACCTTGTAGCTGGGAAACATTCGTCTGTAAAAGACCAATGATCCATTAGAGAGCCAACAACAATAGTCAAATAATAATGGTGATAATAATAATTTTAATACAGTGAGAGTATTGTCTCATTTGTCAACATTTTCCTGATCCATGAAGTCATTGGATGTAATGACAAGAGGTACCACACATATTTAGAGAAATAAACACTAGCAAAATGGGAATATATTTATTTGAAAAAATTATATAATAATCCTGGTACAGCAGCATGCATATGATGGCAAATTGTGCACTATTTCTCACTGTTGTCCTTCAGGGGCTTTTCCCTGCCTGGGGAATTTTGTGTTGAAAATAGATTGATCCATGAACATTCAATAAAAAGGAAAAAATATATTTTCTATCTTTATACATTGTAGGGTAGTAAAATTAAAATGAAAGAGTCACTCACCGGCCAGCTTTAGTGATGATCATCTCTGTATTGACATCATGAAATTTCGCCCACAGATCTCTCTCGTGCAAATAAACTTTGATTGCCTCCATACCCTGCGCGCCAGGATCGGCAAACAAAAAAAGCAAATTACTGCTGATTTGTAAACCTATTTCTGACAAAATATGCTGACAAATACAAACAATATAATACTAATGTATTTAAATAAAGAATGGGTTTTAGGTTGTTTTTTTACCAGTGTTTTTTTTATTAGTCCATACGAATCATAATCGTAAAAATAGTCGAGACCGGTTGTTAATAATATCGAATTTGAAAGCAAATTAAAAGGAGTCGCGTGTACATTTTGCAGACAGACATATAACAAGAAATGATCTAAATACATACACTACGTAACAAATAATGCACTCCTGTATTAATCAGTGTGATGCTACAAAATGTCTATTTGCTTGTTATATAAACGTTATTAATTCATTCGCAAATATGCCATCTAAATAGCCGAAATAGTTCCACTTAAAATAAACAACTAGACCAACAGTATAATAATACAATAATAATCAAATCTTGACAAATAAATAAATACAAATCTGTCAGCAGAGTTTTGGCCTCGCATTCTGCTGCACGTGCAGAGTTCCGGCTGACCTGCTGGGAGAGCGGAGTTTGCAGCGGCGGAGAGCCGGGTTCGCACGGACCGTGATGACCGGAATCTTTCTCCTTCTCGAATCCCATCGCGGGGGAATCGCCGCCGGAACACGACTGCTGAGATCCGAACTCTAAATTCGCCATATCCCCGTTTGAGTTTAACTACGGTGAACTAAAAGATGCGAAAGGGAAATGGTAGAAATATTTTCAACCAGGTGATCTCCAGAATTAAATACAAATAAACAGCCTAAATTAAAACTAATCAAAAAAAATCCACATTAACTGTAATCAACTGGTTCCTTTAAATTATTGTGTAGCTACAAAAGTAGTAGACAAATATATTTTGCCTTGATACAATGGTTTTTGCGTTCGATGGAGAGAGTTTTAGGACGCTTTGGTTCTTAATGTAAAATATGTAGGAGACTATCGGAAATTCTCGAATCGAGGCTGCTATAACCATCTTAATTTATTCCTACAGAATCCAATAACTTAGATTAATTTTAACTTTATAATTGCCTCGCATGAAGCTACTTGGATGTTTGTCGTCTCTTACCTCATTGTTTAATGAGCTTTCCGTTGCTGACTTAATTCCAAAAAAGACGCAATTTTAAATTCGTCCCCACTGACTTATTTCTCCAAGAGGCCTATCATTTTAAGCTCCCTGAATACAAATACAAATATCTACAAAAAGAGTTTAGGGCGTTTTAATGGTGATTTCCTCTCTCCTCAAACCCTTCGCCGAGCTCTGTCCCTTCTTCTGCCGGGTCTCTCTTTTCTCCATCCATTCTCTGTCCCCCATTAAGTGATGCTTTCTGTCGTCACAGCTTTTTCATTCACACACTCATGACACGCCAGGTCCAAACTCTCACACACATTCACCACAAACAGCCACATTGCGCGAAAACCTCTCGTCCTCCAAGATGAACCTGCTAGCTCCTATGCGCTTTCCAAATGCAAATACAAAACTGAAGAACCGTCCTAAATAGCGGAAGAAAATAAATTCGCTGTACTCACATATCTGGCGCAGAATTTACGCGTAGACTCCAAGTTTGCTCGGTAAATAATCAGCGCTTTTCCGTCAACATCTCTGTGCGCGACGGCTGCGCGCTGCGGGGTTAAAAGTTGAGGAGGTCGGAAGGAGGTAACTAGGCGAGCGCTCTGTCCTCTCTCTCTCTCTCTCTCTCTCTCTTTCACTGCTCGAGTCCGTTTGTATTTGTTTGCTGGTGACAGAACACGGCGTTACCTCAGTAAAAACTTTGGAAATATTATTTGATGACCAAGTAGGCCTACGCGCGTTCTCTTGTCACTCATATAGTTCGCATTACTTCAAAACAGGCTTCCATAAATAAGACAAGTGGATGATAACAGGATAGAAGTAACATTGCTCGTTAATCCCGCAATCGTGTGGCGAGATAAAGTCAGGACAGCACGGAGAGCGCGAGTTTGACTGGGCTCGAGACACGTCGGTATTCGGATAAGGCTCTGTTTAATGTGACTAATGTGACAAACGTCTAGATAATTTTTCCGTTTTCCTCACAATTACTGAAATATTAATGACTTTATAATTGTTTCTGTGGAGTGACGCATGGGTGAATTTATTTCTCTTGGGATTCTGTGATCTGTCAGTCAGAATGGAGCGAAGCAGAATCTGTAAACCAAACCTCAAACCATTTGCAATAATTTCCCAAACATTACATATGTCTACCGATAGTTTTTAAATTACGTAAAATAAAATAAAAACATTAAAAACAATGTATTTCAAATGTTTTAAATAACGCAATGCGTATTCATTTTACGTTCTAACCTTTCAAAGCGTCAAACTAATAAATTGCGCCACCTAGTGCGGTCATTTATTAGTAAACGTTTAAACTCGTGTGACCTTGAAATATTAAATTAAATATTTGTTTGCAAAACCAATTTGGCGGTTTTTTTTTTTTATTAATTAAAGACAATAATTTAAACATATTAAAATATATTTAAAAACTTTATTTAAAAATATTAAAAAATATGAAATTGTATAAAAATTGAAAGATTAGTCCACACACATGTGCGCAGTTTATACAATGAAATATTTTACTCATTCAGACAAGATACAATCAGTATTTTCTCCTTCGTTAAGGCAAACGGCATAGACCTATCAAATCATGCTCTGTCATCTCACTTACTGCTCCAGTGTAAGCTGTAGGATAGTTATGTGTATTATCTCTGATCTCGCTTAAGTAGCATGAAAAAGAAACATACTCCAAGACCAAACACACGGACTCACACAGATAAGCAAGAAACAACAAAAAAATATAGTTCAACAGGCTGATTGTTTGGGCCAATTCCACAGTAGCCACTTAATCAGGACTTAAGTGTATGTGTGTTCAGTCAAATCTAAAGGGCACTTCACAGATCTGTGTTCAAGCAGTCAAAAATGCTGCCTAACTGTAAACATGAACTAAACATTTTATCACAACTTAAAAAAAAAAAATGACCTAATTTTTTCTACTCAGATCTTGGCTTCCACCCTGTCAAAAGACCCTGAAGAGATGAAAATTAATAAAGTTATGAGGAACAAAAATCAACCTAAAACTGCAACCTGAGAAGAGAAACAGAAGAAAAAAATCCAGCTGCCATAACAATGGCAATCTAAAGGGGGATTAACCCATATTCTATTTCAATCTAGCCGTGTGTTAGTAATTAGATTCTATAACAAAACTAATGTTACAAAAGTCATAAACATCTATCGTACCTTTAAGTTTCACAACAAACTTGAAAGCAATAAAATCCAGTATTAGATCTTTCATTATAAACAGGGGCTGTCATCTATCATTGTCATGTAATTGTTTCTAAAGCAGAAATAACAGACAGCAACGTTCAAGTGGATCTTCAGTCTAACATGCAGGTAACATTTATATACCCTAGTGACGGGTGAAATACAGTGAGTGGAGAGTGAATGGAAATCAAGATTTTAGGAGTTGTTACAGATCACAATACCCTGCGCATGCAGCAGAAAGAGGGAGCTGTGTGTAGCACAAAGGGCTTTCGTTCTTTTCATTCACTGTCCAGAATATGTCTTCAGTTAAATGGTGCATGTATGGAACTCTTACAAAGGAACATGGCTTAACAGAGCCAGCAATGGTTCGCCATCATATGAGTTTGTACACAGTGATGGCGTGTGTGAAGACATGATGTGTGTGTGTGTGTTATAAGGGGACATGACTAAACAAGTATGAAACTGACTCCCCATTATGTGTTCGCCTAATGGCTTCAGCCAGGATCATAGAAATGTCGATCACCTGGAAAGGAAAAGAGAAATCAATTAGTCACCATGCTCTGAATAATGAGGAAAAAAGTAACCATTTCTACTATATGAAAAACAATAAAATCAGATAATATTTCAGAAGTTAATACCAGTTCAATTACCGGTCAAAATTTTGGGGTCAGTAAAATATATATATTTGAAAGAATTTAAATGATTTTATTCAGCAAGGATGCAATCAATTGCTGTCATTTTGAGCTTTCTATTCATAAAAAAATCCTGGGAAAAAAAAAATATGTATCAACATTTCCACTAAAATAGCTGTTTTTAATATTGATGATAAGAAGAGTTTCTTGAGCATTAAATCAGCATATAATAATGATCTCTGAAGCATCATGTGACACTGAAAACAGAAGTAAAGGCTGCTAAAAATTCAGCTTTCCATCACAGTAATAAATTCTATTTTAAAATAGAAAATTGTCATTTTAAATTCTAATAGCATTTTACTACATACCAGCTTTTACTGTATATTTTGGATAAGACAGTATGTATCCTGGGCGAGCTTTTGAACGGAACTGTATATGTATCAAAAATGGGTTGTAAAATTGTGAAACCTTAATAGACTTGCATATAATCACTGATTTCCCAGTTCACTTTGATTCAGATTCACAAGCTTGATAATCAGTTCTGATTTTGAAATATACAATGTGCAATTGTTACATAATCATGTGATTTTTTATATTCCACTAACATTTGTTTAATTAAAATAGAAACGGATAGAAAAGAACATAACAGAAAACAAAGAACCACAACATAATTTTTTATAAGATTAATGTCTGTGCCTGAATCTTGTTGCAGTGTTTGATTTTGTCCTCCTGTGGAATTGTGTTGGTGACCACAACTGCCTCGAAGTTGGCATTGTTGATCCGAGAAATGGCTGGACCGGAGAAGATACCATGGGTCAAGATGGCGTATACTTTAGTGGCTCCCGCAGACACCAATCTGAGAGAAGACAGAGACACACGAGCAATTACACAAACAGGCAAGAACATGGAGGCATGAGGTCTGATAAATCAGCAGGATAATCATGAATGTGCATATGTTTGAGCATGAAAGCGGTCGTGTATCATGTGTGTCCTCACTTGTCAGCCGCGTGACATACTGTCCCACACGTGTCTGCCATGTCATCGACTAAAATTGCCACTCTGTCTTTCACGTCCCCAACCAGCACCATACGATCCACCTCGTTGGCCTTCTTCCGCTCCTTATGGATTAAGGCAAAGTCCACATTCAGTCGGTCTGCGATGGATGTCACTCTAATAAAATGAACACAAGATTCTTAAGCAACATTCTGTACAACAGCGGTAAATGACCATGGATGCATTCAGGCCTCTCTGCAAGTGTCACATGCACACCACAGAGAAGCCACATGTGCAAAAGTTACAGTAAAAACACAAGTACAGTACAAACACCAGTGTGCATAAGCTCACTCACTCACTTGAGTGTCTTAAATGGTTACAAAAGGGGGCGCTGTAGTCAGTTCATCGCTCAAAAGACAAATCAGCGTGATTAAATTAGCCAAGCTTTAAAAGGCTTCAAACAGATTTACAAAAAATGCCCACCACTATAATATACTGCTAAAGGTTTAGGCCAAGCCATCCACTGTTAGCAGAGTCACACACTCACACATAAACACACGAAAAAACCTGACATTTCCTTACCCTCCACACCTAAAAGAGTAAAACACACTCATGTCCATCGTCTTCAAGAGCCTGATCAACATTATAGACTACAATTCTCCAGGTTTAACAACCTGAAAGGGTTACGATGCTATAAAAATAAAATGATATGTAGACCAAAACTCAAAAATATGATAAAATACATTCTTTTAAAAGACTTTTTAAAACATAAACTCAATGTGAAAAGGATAAACAAAGAGAAATCTGAATGTGAAACAAGAATGACAGTGAATTAAGGAAAGAAATGAAGGAAGAAGAGAATGGGTCTCATTCACTAATAGTTGTGTGAATTATTCACATTTATACAAACAGGAAAAAAATCGGTAAATAAATTCCACCTAATTCACAACACGTGTGTGCAGACTCCAATTAGTTCTTAACCTTGTTGTAATGTCAATGAATTTGGAGTACTCTAAATTGGCCACCACATGCCTGAGGTTAGCCATTTGTATAAAGTCTGCACGATTTTAGCAATCCTATAAGATCATTACCAATCACACTGTGACATGGATGTAATAAACTTGGGTATGACATGTATGCAGACTTGTAGGCTACAGTGCAAGTTACTATTAAAAATAGAATAAATCGTTATTAGTGTGCGCTAGTGGTAAACAAAAAGAGCATGACGAAGCAGTTTGGCAGCTGTACTTCTTATGTTTGCTGAAAAAAAGAGGAATCTGTGAAAAAGGAAGTTAAGTGAGTTTGAGGTAAGCAGTTTTAAGTTTTAGCGCCATGTTGCGTTGATCAACACACCATTTGATGTTGCATTTTTATCGGCTGGTCAGTAAACGTGGGTCGTAGCAGCAAAAACACAGTGTGATGCTGAATTTCTGACATTGTCAGAAAACGATCGCAGGCTGCCTTTGGTCACAAGACCGTGACAACGGCCGTCTTTAAACCTCTCTCACTGTCCAAACACCGTTTAGGAGCCACGATCACAGAAATCGCCACGATTGTCTCACAATGCCAATCTTTCGTCTGGGACAGCCGAAAATTGTGTGTAGATGGCTTAAAACACAACCAAACCATTTCCACATAAGGGGTTTCCGCAGAGGTTTCAGTCATTCTCAACAAATATGAAAATTAAACCACTTTTTTTTTTTAAACTGGTGATTCAATGTTTTATATGTAACTATTTAATGATTTAATATCCATGTATACATTTTCATCTTAATATGCTTATAAGGCCACAAAGAGATTTTTGTGTTCGTGGGGTATCAAGTGTTCCCAGATTTTTTCAAAAATGTAAATTTAAAGTGGTGGTTCACTGTTTTTTTTCTAGGCTTGATTGTGTTTATGGGGTGCAGTCTAACATGTGTTAATGCTTCGTTTAAAAAAAAAAAAAAAACATTATTTTTCACATAATTTACCTTTATTCCACACCACTCTGTCCCTTCTCTGAGAAATGCGCTGATCATTTCCTTCTTTTATGAAGCCCCTCCCTCAGAAATAGGCTCTGATTGGTTAGCTAGCCCAGTGTGTTGTGATTGGCTAAACCGTCTCTAGTGCGCATCTAATCATCCCACCCCTCACCTCAGCCATGTGCTCCGGTTGTATTGTAAACAACGGTGTCGTTAATATTGCTTATCAGTTTGAGCCCGATTGAGAAGCAGAGGATATTATTGAAGAGGATCGTGCAGAACCTGTGCAAGCACGGCTTTTAATGGTAAGCCTATGTTTTTTGTTTGTTGTTGTCTCGTACTTTTAGATACGCTGTTATTTGCAAATGCTACTGCTTCTGTTAGCTTTTAATATACGGTTTTATCCTGATTAAAGTTCATTGTTGGAGCTGAGCTGAATGAGAGAGAGAAAGAGAGAGATGCAGAGCAGGGGGATGCGAGGAACAGTATTAAGAACTGCTGCTTTAGAACATACATTTTTAAACTTGTGAATCCATTAGAATCATTAGAAGACAAAATCCCGATTCATATATGAATAGATATTTACGTGCACCTCTAGTTTTCTCTTCCTCTTCTCTAAAGCAGCGCAGCATGGCCTCGCCCCCTTTGCTGCCTTTTCCCGAGGGCGGGGTTAATCTGGGTTTGTGATGTCACAAACCCGGGAAGTAACTCGTTGTTGTCCCTACCAGCCGTTTTTGTAGGCATTAAACTGCCAGAATTTAAAAAGACGATATTTCCATTTGCATTGAACTTTCAGCTTCGCAACTTTGCAGATATTGTTTATGCTGAAACAGCAACATTACACACTAACTAACGTTAAAAAAGTGAAATCGCAATCAACTACACCTTTAAAAAAAAAAGTATGTTATAAAAGTTATAAAAAACCTTTGCACACAGGTATCACACACATTTGTGTGCATGTATGTTTAGTGAACGAGACCCAATGTTTTTGAGAGACAGAAAAGGAAAGAAAACACACCTCTTGGCTCCACCAGCATCAGGAGAAACAATGGTGCAGTTCTTCCATTCATTGATGTTTTCTTTTATCCATTTGAGGACTGCCGGCTCAGCGTACAAGTTATCAACTGGGATGTCAAAGAACCCCTAACAACACACACACACAAAACACATTCACTCAAATTCAAACCATAAAAAAACTTTCAGTGTCCAAGTCTCAACTATAAAATGAAGAAATTTAAGGCGCACCCAGTTCTACTCAGGGCTGACTGTAGGATTATGTCTGTGATCTCTGTTCATGAGAGATAAGGGTTTGTTTTGAGCTTGTTTGGAGGAAAGCACTGTTTTTACCTGAATTTGAGATGCATGAAGGTCCATAGTGATGATGTGGTCTGCTCCGGCTACAGACAGCATGTTGGCGACCAGCTTGGCTGAGATTGGAGCCCGACTCTACAGACAAAATTCTCACTCATAAACATACACTCATAAATAAGTAACATCACAACCACTAGCCAGATACACATTAACAGGAAGATAGAGAAGGGCTAAGCAAGCATAATTAGCTATGCCTTGTAAGTTTCCAAAGGGCCAGAAAACACAAGCCGACACCACAGAAGAAAGACTTACAGAAAGTAGCCCACATGGATCCACCAACAGTGGTGCGGTTAATGTATGATTAACTGTGTGTACATGTTAATAAGCAAGCTGTTCCCCTC